TGGCTCTCTTGCTCTGTTTCTCGTTTTTTGGCCCCAAAGTGGACCTCCTGTGCCATGAAATCCGAAGGGGTTACGTGGCCTTGTGGGTGCCGGGATGCCTTTTCTGCTATTCCCTTACGTCTCGTGCCGTGCGCGTATTACCTCCGAGTAAAATACAGAAAAAATCCTGTGTTTCCTTGAGGGTGGGGGAAGAGGTGGGGGGGTAAAGTTAGCATGTCTTCACCGTGGATGGATATTTAGCGACCTGCCGGGCTCAAGAAATGGTCCTGCCGATGCCTCATCCGATTTCAACACTTGTGTAGCCAAATAGTGGGGGTTTACTACCCAGGTGCAGGTGCATGTGTCCGTCTACAGAGTTTCCGTGCCTCCCGGCCTCGGAGTTGCAAACCCCGCGTTGATGATAACTCCTCTTACCTTCGTGTGGAGTAGAGGAATTAAAAACTGTTGGGATAGCGGGAGGTACTTGCATGCTGACACTCTTCAAAGCAAGCAGACCAACCCTGTCATCGGTTTGAAACAAAATATTTATGCTTTATTGCGAAGTAATGCATCTCTTCTGCAGTTACCTTTGCACATGAAGCTTTAGTTGGCTTTAACGTGCTTCCACTAAGCTTCTCCTTTCTTGGGGTAGGGCTAAGAGAGTTAAGGTCATGGCTTAGGTTAGCTTTAACATGCTTTTCCTTTGTAATCTGTGTGCAGTGTATATTGCATAGGTCACTTAGGTATATGATTAGGAACAGTGGATTGATTAAAATCACTGATTTTAATTGTGATTTTAAGTAATAGAGTTAATCTTGTTTTGTATTTATACCAGATAGAAGATGTTAGTTTGCAACTAAATATAGTATCTCTTGTGAAAGAAAGTGCTTATTTTCTAGCAGTAGGAAAATTATACCTTACTTATACCTATTTAGGGCTTGTGAGAACCCAAATATACTTTTATCTTGTGAATCAAACATACTAGGCATTAAAGCAAGCTTGATACAAGTAAAATATGAAGGTGTTTAGGATAGGGATTGGGATGCAGTTAAAGTGTATGAAATATCTGGAAATCTGAAAATGGTTTTCCCTTTAAACCAAAAAAATGCACTAAGAGCTTGGCTAGTTTCAACACTGATTGTTTTTGTTAACAGTACCCTTAGGTGTAGAACTAGAGTGCTTTGTAAATTCACACTTCATTTTACTTATAGATGGAGGAGGAAAACAGTAAGTACTCATCTTGGATTTGGAGAGGGTTTGGGTTTTGCTTTTAAATTTCTGAGGGAACTCACTGACTAAAATGGATAGAAGTTCTCTGTATGTGCGAGAGAATAATGCTGTGAAATCCTTGTCCCTGCTGCTTAGCCACTGATCTGTCACATATGCTTAATTTCTTCAAAGCTTTAGCAGTAAACTTGTGCTACTTCAACTTTTTAATTTAATTTTGCTGTAATGTCCTAACATAATACACTACTTCAACTTTTTAATTTAATTTTGCTGTACTGTCCTAACATAACACGCTTGAGTTGTTATGAGCCTAATACCAGCTTTTAAAACAAACTATTTATCCACAATATCTACTTATTTTTAGAATGTATCCAATTTTAAGTCCTAAGTCATCGTAAATGACTTAAGAAGGAAGCTGCTTTAAATATTTGAAGTGCTCTTAAGCACAAAAAATGTATATTGTTTACCTGAAAGTACATGTTATTAACAGCTTTTAAAATTTTTAGCATTTTAACAATTGAGACTTGCAGACTTCAGATTACTCCCTTGTCTTTCCCTTCTCATACACCAGTTGAGATTTTTTGCTTTTCTCTAATAGAATAGCTAGTATGTGTGTGATCGCTGCCCAAGGTACTGTATTTCGTGGGCAAGTGTATTTCTTCTGTAAATTTAAAAAAAATAAAGCCACTTGGGAATGTTACAGACAATTCAAAACCAGCCACGTTCTAACATCTGTGAGTCATTGTGAATTAATCAAGCTAAGAGTTATTCCCATGTTAATTATTTATCTTTTTAGCTGTTAATTTTTTGTGAGTTTGTGTGAAAGCAGAGGATTGTAAATAACCTCTAAAGAAACAGTATGCGGTGTAATAATTTGCTATATTTCATTAGTTCGTATTGTACGCCTCCCTTGCCTTGGTATACTTTAATATGCAAGTTTGGTTATTTCTGCAGTTGTGGTTATAAATCCCACGTGTTTTCACAGTTGCATTTCACTGTGGGAAGACAGAGCTAGACTCTTCTCGGAGATGGGTAGTGGAAGGATGAGAGGCAGCAGACACAAGCTTGAACGTGGCAAATTGTCATTAGGTGTAAGGAAAAGTTACCATGAGGGTGGTAAAATACCGGAGTAGGTGCCCAGAGAGGATGTGGGACCTCTGTCCTTGGAGGTGTTCAAGACTTGACGGGACCCATCCCTGAATTAGTATGCTGCTTGGTGCACGTAAAGCTTATTAATTTTTTTCTATTTTTTCCCCTATAGACTGCCTCAAATGTAGAAATTCTTACATTTGAGGTAGTCTATAGGGAAGACTACCCTATAGAGTGGAAGAGATGGATAAACTGTGAAATTAAATTTCATTTTGATGGGTAGTTATTTTCTGAAAGAAAGTTGAAACAAGAGAAGTTCAAATCCAAACTGTTAGAGGTTGTCAGTTTTGCAGCTCTTTAACGGGGTGTGTAAAGTGAGCTGATAGTTGCCTGATTTTTTTTTTTTTACCATGAGAGGTAAATAATCCCAATGCAAGGTTAGTAGAGGGCACTGATTTACTTTATTTTTTTCTGCAGAAACAGACCTGCAGTGCAAATCAGTAAAGATGGTACCGTACTTGAAACTTAAGTAATAGCTTGAGCTTCAATTTCATGGGATGCTAGCTAGAAAAAGAGGCAAGACCTGGCAGAGAAGTGAGAGAGTGTGTATTTGTTTGTGTGTCCATGCACCCAGTGCTCTTGGCCTGTTTTTTTAAAACTAGCAATTTACTTGCTTGGTGCATAAGTTTTCAAGAATGTACTTATTTTGCAGAAGGAAATTAATGCATGCACTAAGGCTGCTATTCCTGGACAGGGTTCTAATAGTTCAGTGTCTCAGACTGCTGCAATGTGCCCAATTTCTCTCTTTAGAAAGTTTAGAAGGTTGAACATTACTAAATTGGTTTATTTTAAAAAAAAAAAAGGGGGGGCGAGATGGTGATTTAAAAAAATAAAAGGACCTAAAAAATAGAACTGCTAAAACTGTTTACATAACTGCTTTTGGAAATTCATCACTTGCCAGAATGTGTCTTGTGCCATTTTTTTAATCACATGTAAAATGTGTTTTACTAACATAAGCATATGTTTGACCATGAACAGAGTGCTATGTCTGAATTGTCTGCTGTCTTCTGGGCTGGGAGGTGGGGTCAGGCTGCTGGCATCAGTAGTCTCAGGGCCCAAGGCTTCACTCTGCAAGGGTGGAATAAAAAAAAATGTCATGGTAAAAATGGAGTATGTCCGATACCTCAGATTTTTTGAGAGATACTAATTTGAGCATAGACTGTTGTTGTACTGTGCTGAGAATGAGAAAGGCTTAGGTATTGCTATTTTGTGTGTGTGGGAATAACGTTGTAGAAAGATAGTGGTTTTGGAAATTAAACTGAATTCAAAGGCTTAAGCCAAGTTGTTTCCAGGGCAGTGCTGACATTTAACTTGGTAAGTTGAATCCTCTCTCTCTTCTAGAATGAGTCTGTGTAAGTTAAAATATGCAGGTTCTGAAAAGATTTGTGGATGACCTTGTAGTGTGTCACTCGGGTTAATAACCTGTTACTTTGACCTTCCTCCCCAACCCCTTTCCTCTACCAAGTTGATGAGCTTATCAGGTAATTTCCTTGAAGCGTGCCCTGGAGAAACATGACATTAAAAATTCAAACAAAATTTTGCAGGTGGATGAGCTGCTCTGCTTACTATGACTAGGGATGTGCTTGCTAAATTTATTTTAGTGTTCTTTGGGAACAGTCGTGTCTTCTGTAGTGGCTTGATCTAGTTCCCAAATGCTGATTTAATTGGCAAAAAAATCATTACATGTCTGTTATGTATTGGTAAAAATGCACCCATTTAGGTGGAGGCCTGTGTGAGAGGCGTTACAGATCTCCGTGTTCCTTACCTACTGCTTTAAAAACTTTGCTCCTGACATTCCTCACCGTAAGTTCACATTTAATTTTTCCTTTATTGTATTTATGTATAAATGAAGACTTATACATAAATACAATAAAGGTGCCCTCATGCCTTAAGGCTTGTTAAAGTCCAAGAAGTGTTACTGGCTGTGATGAACCCAGGTGCTCTGCTTCTTCTGCAGGCATCCTGTGGACCTTAAATCTGTGCGTTATGCACTGTAGTTTTTATGGATGTTACATATGGAATATGTCCATACATACATGCTTACGGAAGGTCGCTCATCTTTGTTTTTTCTTAAAAAACGTGTTTCTGGAATGAATAATTCCTAGTGGAAGAGTCTTATGGTTATTTTACACCTAGAGTCTATATATAAATAACATATAAGTAACTTAGTGGCTGGGTCTTCGCCAGGAGTTCTGTTTGAAAGTCTAAAGTGACTTTTTTCCTCAGAAAATTCCTGAACTCTGTTAAACACCAGCAGACAGTTATTTTATCTGTTAAAAGCTCTTGAATTTTCATGTTAGCAGTTAGAGCTCTAGACATGCTTTATTATTGGATGTGTGTTTTATGTTTTTTGACTTACCTTCTATTCTTAAATGAAATACATTTTATTTTCAGCTCAAGCTTGTGCAGATGTTCTGGCATTAGCCAAAGAAGCTAGGAAGCGAAATCTTGGTCCTCTTCATCCTTCCTTTAATGTGGTAAAGATAATAAGAGATGGACTGATGAGAAACCTTCCAGAAAACACTCACCAGTTGTCATCGGGCAGACTGTGTATTTCACTAACGAGAGTGTCAGATGGTAAAAATGCATTGATATCTAATTTTAACTCTAAAGAAGAAGTTGTCCAGGTATGTTTATTTCTGGCAACTTTTAAAAGTTTCTATAATCTTAAATTTGTTTGATGTCATCCACTGGATTTCCATTTAAAACATTTTAGGATATTGTGACTTTAACAGTATTTAAAAGATTAATTCAGGCTTCATTACACTAAATTTGCTTACTAGTTTTCCCAGTCAATGTATCTGCAAATGGTTTTAGCAATTAGGTGTGAGGGATCAAACTTAAAAAGGGTGCCTTTAAAGTGCAGTATCTAATGAAACGATATCCTTCATGAAGAACTTTTTTTTTAAGGTAATTCTTATAAAAGTGGTGATCAAGACACAGTCAAAAATAGCTTTTTAAGGTTCTTAATATCAGTTACAAAGCTAGTTTAATATGATCCCAGAATGGTAATATTTGTGTCCTCAGTTACTTTGGTTACTGAACCAAAAGTACAGTTTGAGTGAATGATCATAAAATTTTTCTTGCAAATTAGCATTTCTAGAAACGGTCTTTTAGTAAGTCTTAAAGTTTGGGTTTGTGTTTTGTTTTTTTTTTTTTAGATGGAGTGTGGTTTCTTTCTAAAAAGGAAATGTGGAATACCCTCATCTTGTTTGAAGTCATGATCAATAATAGCTTTTTCCCCCCTTTTTATTCAAATGTACTTGCTGGGGATTTTTTTGGTTGCTTGCTCGGTTGTTTTTGCTAACATCTAAAGAGATAATGATATATGATAATTTCAATTATAGAACAGTTACCATTTAATTTATATGGTCTCATTTTCCTACAGGCTTTAATCTGTAGTTCATTTGTCCCTATTTATTGTGGCCTAATTCCACCGTCATTTAGAGGTGTGGTAAGTCTTTATTGTTAAGATCTAAAAATAGTTCTAGCTATCCTGAAAATATTAAAAGGCAGTGTATGGCTTTTTTTAGTTATCCTACTGCACAATAAATACCTTCATTATAGCTTCTAGTAATGTAGCTCTATCTTACAACTTTTCAAAAGAGCGAGGAAACTCTAAATGTCCGGAGGATCTGTATGTATATTTCTTCTCTACCCTGCAAAGTACACACAAGCACACTTTTTCTTTCTCTCTTTAATTTCTTGCTTGCTGATGGAGTAATTAAAAGAGGATATTCTAAACTATCAAGTATTTAACTTAAGGATAAATGTTTGTTGAAGAAAGTGATACTCATTTACTTGCACAAAATTATAGGAAGGGTCCCTTATACTGGTTTAGTGGGTTTTTTTTTTAAAAAAAATCTTGTAAAATAGTTTATTGTCTATCTTTGTGTTCTTGCTGTAGGTGGATCTGTCTTAAAACTAGATTAAAGTTCCATGTTCAGTTAGATATAAATGTTTTCTGTCGTTCGTATGCAGTGTGAGAAAGGCTGCTTTTTAAAGGTAAAGGGTCAGTACATTAGTCTGTTCTATTGCTTCACAGGAACTGTTGGTTACAAAACCTCTTAATACTTCTTGGCTGTAGTGGGCTTCCTGAAATCCCCCATTAAAGGGGCAACAACTGCAGAAAAGTTAGTAGAGTTTGTTGTAGGTGTTTTGATTAACAGGTCTGGAAGCAGACGTGCATTTCAAGACAAGACAGTGACATTCGTGGTGTTTTGTTATAATGTTATATTAACTTGCATTTGTTTTCTTTCCAACTTTGATGCTCCACAAAGAGAGGGGAAGAATGTTGAAAGAAAACTTAGAACATCTTTAACAGTGATTGATTGCAGACTGTTCTCAAGGCAGTCTGGAAGTGCTAAAAAGTCAAGGATAGACATGGAATGTATTTTCTTCTTCATGCTGAAATTTAAGCAGAAGCGATTAGGACGGTATAGGGATTTTTCTTTATCTGTACTTCTAAACCTTGTATGTCTCCTTAAACTCTTCCAGATTAAAGGTGTTATGAAAACAGGACGTTGGACTGAATCCAAGGTTTAGGTGGATCCAGGCTAATCTGGCTATTTGGTTCTTGTCACCAGACAACAATGTTATTTTAAAAGGCTTAGTTCGGAGTACAAAAACATACAAGTGATGCTTTATTTGGTCCTATGTTGAAGGAAGGGGAATGAAGGAATCATTGTTTCCTTTTGATCTTTGCAATTATTTTGATATGATTTTAATGCTTAAGCAGCATTTTTGATGTAACTTTGTGAGAATACTACAGTTGCACATGCTTGACATGACTCCTGTAGGGTTTAAACACAGCAGAATGTCAAGTATGTAAACTTGTAGCATCGTGTTATTTACTGGCTTGGTGCTTCGTGCATGTATACTTTAAATCAAAGACTTAAGATAACTTCCAGTAGCTATATCTAACTGCCAGCTGTGAAGGTTTTGGATGTGGTACATTCTGTTGGGGTTTTTTACCCCTTTCAAACACAGCAATGGTTTTAGATTAAAAAATTGTTAGAGGGAACAGATAGGCAAAAACTCGAAATAATTAAAACTGCTTACCTCAGTAGAACAGTGATTCAGATGTGTACTTCTGCCTTTAAATAATTTCATGAGAAGGCTGCATTCTATGGCTCCTCCTTTGCCAAACTTGTTGTATTGTACTTGATTCTTCCACAAAGGACTGGGTGATTGCACGTGTACCTTAGTGATTGCATGATACACCTATAAGAAGTTTGTCAGTAGCTGGTGGCTGTGTGTTGCTGGGTCTGAGGAGTGTCCAAGTTAGCCGACAGGTAGGAACAGGCTGTTCTGGAAAGTATGTTGGATAAATTGCTCAGAGCTGTCCTCTGCCTAATTCCTAATCTGTTTCTCGGAATGTTCAGGAAGTGAGTATCACGGCAGATGAAATTGGTAATCCAGGTTGCTCCTGCTCAAAACACCTGCTCTGTTACCTTTACCTTCTACAAGGACCTACAGATTATGTCTCTTGCCTAGTTAGGAAAAAGGAAACTGCAGCCGTTAAACCAGCAAGGCTGGTAGTGTGGAGTGGTCTTCTGCCACTGTCAGAACAAACTGACTACAATTGGTCCTGCTGGAGAGATGGCTGTTGTGCTTGACTGGAGGAGTTGCCTTTGGCCCCAGCAGCTTCTGCACTATAGATTAGTTACCCTGATAGATCTTGGATCTTAAAGCGTGTGAGGTGATGCTGCACTAAAACTGCAGAAATGGGCAACTGACCACAAAGGAGACAGAAGCATAACCTGGAACAGCTTCTAAACTTGCACTCAAAGCAGAATAGAGAATCCACAACTGTTGCAAGGTTTCTGAAGCGTTATCCATTTTTACTTGCAGTTTCTTTACGACCAAATATTTTTAATGCTTTTCTATCAAATTCTAATTACTAGGAGTAATTTTAAGTTACTTTTATTTTAACTGAATGGTTTAGTATCATGGAACTTGAGCTTTGAAGTCTAGACCTATTCTTTTATTCATACGCTTTCTGAAGAAGTACCCTGGTAGCTGTTTGGTTGGTGCTCTCCTTTGAGGAAGAAGAGACAGCTGTGCTCTTTTTCTCTGCGTATTGTGTAGGATTATAATCTTTAAAATGGATTTGTTTTTTTCTTAAACATCCATAAAAATCCCAAATAGTATACTCTTAGGCTATCTATAGAACTATAGGTAGGAATATTTTCTTTTTTAACTGGCATTAGAGGACAAGGCATGCTATTCAAAATGTTCAGCCCAGGAGCTTAGGCAGAGCCTCTTCTGTTACAGTCTTAAATGCTATTTAATTCTTGCATGAGAGATCTGCTTGTTGGAAATTTTCAGCCTTTGAGAATTCTTGTTTCTCTTCATTTTTGTAGCGCTATGTGGATGGAGGAATCAGTGACAACTTACCTCATTATGAATCTAAGAATACCATCACAGTTTCGCCTTTTGCTGGGGAGTGTGATATCTGCCCAAAGGGGAATTCTGCCAACTTTCATGAAATGAATGTGACCAACACCAGCATTCAGCTCAGTTTGGGGAATCTTTATCGTTTAACACAAGCCCTCTTTCCACCAGAACCTAAGGTAAATCACTGCCTTTGTGTAGTTACTAAACCATCTTTTCCTATAAAAGCCTTCGTTCTGCAGAAAGCTACGGTAATCTTAGCATCTCATCTAGTCATATAAACTTTTCTGGTGACATTTCTCTTCTTGTTTCTATTTTTTCATAGTCTATCTTCATTGTCCGTATTTTTAGTCTTTCTCAGACTAAAAATGCATGTCCTGCTATTGGACTTCTGTATTTATTTGGAGTTAGCACCGGATTCTATCACAAAACCAACATTGGTAAATTAATAACTGTCAGTTGGTAGTCCTTTCATGTTTACCTGCTAACCTGGTGCTTCAGAACTTAGAAGTTCTAAAGCTTCATGGTTTTGTAAAGTTCTCAATTAATACTTCATGCAGGCAAATTGCCTTTAAACTTTGCTGTTAATTGCAGATCTGAGGAGGGAAATGCTCTTGAATTGCCATTGTGGAAGCTGAAAAAATGAAAACAGGCTTTGCCAATTGGCTTAGGATACACTAAAGAGAAGTAATTTTCCTGACTGCTGTAGATGTGGGTTTTTTTAATTGAGGGCTTTTTGACCACTTGAAGAATAATGTTAAGTTCTACTTATGTAGGCTTTAAATTTTTTTAATTTTTTGTGTCTAGGACTACTGTGTAGGTGAGATGGTGTTGCTTTTGGTGAAAGGTGTTTTCATATGGAAGACTAAGTCTGAGTTTGAGAATTGCACAGCTGACTTTTCATAGTTGTGGGAAGTGGGAAGCACTGGAAGGGAGGGAGGGGAATTGGCATACTCCAAGGCACCCTGGTTCATTGTTTCATCTGCTGAAAGGCTAGTCAAAGAAACAAAAGGGAAGCAAATTCTTGTGAACTGTTAGAATGCTGTCCTTTTAGGTGAATAATTCTGTGCATCTGTAATACTGAAAGGTAAGTTCATGTATGCAGGATCATGTATGCATCATCACAGTAGCCATATTAACAAGAATCTGTAGAATTATAGAAAATGTAAATTTTTATTACAACAGTGGAGGGTGGATGGAAGTGGCTCTTCATTCTGCAAACTGTCGATAAGTTGAATCTCCTTTTATTTGTCTGACTCATTTACCGTGTGCTTGCAGGTACTAGGGGAGATCTGTGAGCAAGGATATTCAGATGCTCTTAAATTCCTGAAAGAGAATGGTATGTTACACTTGTGGATAATTATTGATGATGTGGTCTTAACCTGAGTTTAAAAAAAAAAAAAGGGTGAGGGGGTTGTATGTAGCGAAGAAGGGGCTAGGTCTTTGAGGTTTTTGAAGGGATCATAGTAAGTTTAGTTCTTGTAGAAATCACATAGTTGCAGTAACTGTTCACCTGAGGCAAGTTGTGCTGCCACACAGAAATTGGACTTTTGGGTTTCTGTCAAATTTGTGCAAAGTGAATGTTAAGGTATTGTTAAGTGTAATTACCAAAGAATTCCAGTTCTAGGGAAATCATATTACTAGTTTCTTTTGTGTTAATCATGAAGGATAGGAATAGGTTATTGTTTCCCACTCCTATGAAACATGTGTTGTCTTATCACCTCCTATCTGCTATCATACAAATGAATTTCTAGGTAAAGCCTTGCAGTCCAGAACTGGGAGATGGCTAACAACAATATAAACTCTGTGTCAGACAAATCCTTAGACTGTATCATGAAGAACTTTAGCAGATGACTTGTAATGTAGCAGATGTTGGGACCCAGATAAGTTATTAGGAAGAAGAATTGAAAGTTGCTCTGTTCTACTCCTATAATTCTAGTAACATTTCATATTAATAAATCAGAGTCATAGAATCATTAAGTTGAATAGACCTTTTAAGATCATCAAGTCCAAGTGTTGACCTAATACCACCACGCCCACCACTAAACCATATCTCCAAGTGCTACATCTACATGTTTTTTGAACACCTCCAGGGACGGTGACTCCAGCACTTCCCTGGGCAGCCTGTTCCAATGTTTGACCACTCTTTTGGTAAAGAAATTTTTCCTGATATCCAACTTAAACCTCCTCTGGCACAGCTTGAGGCCATT